CTTCCTTCACAGGCAGATGCAGCCCCAGCTGAAACAGGGAACACGGAGAAAAAGGAGGGAACATGGAGGGGGTGCACACTTGACCTGGCAGCCTACAAAATGCTGGTACAGTCCTGAAACTACCCCTACCTGAAATTATACTTGTCTCACAAAGAGTCTGGTGTGTGGATGAGAGAGAGCTTAAGAGATTAAACATCTCTGAAGAGCCGCCTTCTTGTTACACATGATGAGCAGGACTCACTTTATGCATTTTACCTGTCAAAACCTTTTGAAGTTTGTGACTCAGGAAGTTAAGCTTGTATTACTGGTTCTGTTAGTACTTTACACAACTGGTTCCCAGACTGTTTCCCTCCTCTTACCGACTCTCTCCGTCATTTGGCCTTAGTGTCATGTTCCTGCCTTTCCCTTGGTGACCACCATTGTATTCCACCCCTGTGAACACAACCACTGCCTTCTTGTAGGAATCTAGCAACTCTCGAGACCCTCATAGCATCCCAAAGATGCAGTTGCTCTAGAGGGTTGTGGGAAGAAGGTATGGTAAGCAGCTGGCAAAATTTTTCAGTTAAAAATGCAAATGACCAGTGTCACTGAATAAGCTGCCAAGAGCTAGGATATTTATTTAGCTCCATTTAGGAAGCACATACTAATGCACTTCAGTGGGATATCTGCTTGTGGAGCAATTTTTAAGGCCGCAGTGCAATACACAGTCTTACTAGAGGCAGTGACAAGTACATTTATCAATGATAGCAGCAACAAACCAAAGTAAAACACAGTCATTATTACTTAGTCCAAGTTTTAATGCAGCAAAACGTTAAACATGTATTTAAGCCCCACAGGGCTTCCCCCGGTGCTAAGATAAGCACAATTAAGAGATTTGTTGAATTGATGGCTATAACAGGTACCTGCAGATACAAAACTCTGGTACTTTGTCTCTTGCTACATTTCTGTACAGTCCATGTCTCTGTTACATTACATAAGAGATTAGGCTACAAAGAAAGTTAGAAAGAAACTGTAGAAAAAGTCTCTGTTTTCATCAGATCTCTTTTTTATTGTTATTAAAATAAGAAGAAATACAGGGCAGTATAACCTGACAAAATGTTGTATACCGTAGCTCTTTATACAGACTAGGGAAGAAGCTTCCTCTTTAAGTCTTATTTTCATAGCCTTGAATCCCCCTTCTCTCATAAGTTTCTCATATTCCATAGAACAATATGAAAGTATGAAAGTTAACTAATTTAAATGATATAAATATGCATAGCCATTATCTGTAAGATTTTATGGGAATAAGGATAAAATATCAGCCTTAAATTTCAAAGTGTACAGTAGTCAGTTCAGATAGGGCTTGGGTTATATTTTTTATTTAAAATTCTTCAAATCTTTTATTCTCTCTGTATTAAATCCTCTGTATCAAATAGATCACTACATCTTCAATACTTAATTATCTGCACTATAAAAAGAAATCCCCTTTAACAGTTAGGAAAATATTTAAACAGCTCTTTTTTCTTTAAAGAACTGAAACATGATGTACAATGTATGAGCTAATCTTCTACTGATGTATACATGGAGGTCCAAATAAGAGTAAGAGACTTGCTTTCTCTGATCTTGGCAACTTTTGCATTCAGTTTTTAGGCCATCATTTTATGGATGGTTTGGGACTCCAGACAGATTTAGCTGCATGAATTTACTTGCAGAGTCACAGCCTTATCAAGTAGTAGCCGCATTTCTTTACTTTCACAGAAAAATCTAGGTTTGTTAGACCTAAACATGACCACCATCTTCTTTCTCATGCTTGAAGTCACAAGCAGAAGCTTTTGAAGTTGGTGAGGGTGGGATCCTTACCTAAAGGATCCTTACCTAAAGCCTGTGGTGAAACAAGAGAACTCTTTGAGTTCAGATATTCCTGAGGAAGAAGAGCTATTTGCATCCCCTGGGAAGCAGAGGAGTCTGAACTGGACAGGAGTGGGACAGAAAAATGGAACTGAATTTTTTCACTGATGTCAGTAATGTGTTGCCTTAAGGAGATGTGGCAGAAATGTGGTTTTGGAGGTTAGTCCTATTTTTGAAGGTATTCAACATCTCTGTCTTAGACCTGCTAAGGGTCTGAGACGAATGAAACATGGAGCTTCTGGAAGTTTCCCAAGATATACTCAGATTGTGGAGCCAGCTTTACTTGTCTCCTTCAGAAGGGAATGACCTCTCCATGTTGTATGTATTCTCATCAGAGCGTTTTCCTGGTTTACCTGCTGTATAACCATTTCTAGCTTCTCTGACATCCCTTCTCCTTGGCATATACCCTTTCTACATAAAATGGTGTAGTCCTGGAGTGCGTCAGAGGGGACCACACATAGTAAGGTTGGCTCTTTACAGGTTCCAGTACTTTGATTTGATGGATGATCCCACATCAGCTTGGAGCGACCATGATCAGGTATTTAAAAGAAATGCTTGCTGTGCAAGCCACAGGACCTCAGCAAGGCAGGCTTCCAGGGAAAAAAATGAGTTTGGAAATAAATTGAAACATTATAGAATTTAATCTAGGAAGGCAGACAGTGAGAGGGAGTGGGAGTTTTGACATAAACTAGAGGTTTCTAAGGAGCCAAGAGCATTCTTAGAGTAAAACCTGCCTATGCTTTTGCATTTTGATTTCTCTTCTTTCATAGTTCTGAATAAATCAGGTGTAGGCTTACCTTGGGGAGAGAAGAAGGGAAAGTGGTATAAAGGGGTGAATTGTGAGAGCTTCAGTCACCTAATTTGCCCACCTTCTCCTTCAACATCACCTGTACATGTGCAGGGAGAGGCTTCTCACTGCTGCTTGATCCTAGGTACAGGCAGCTATAGGCAGCTGCACAGCAGCTGAGCCAGGGGTCATTCTCCCTCTTCACAGCCCTGCATTCCACTCTGAGGTCGAGCCAGCAGAGCAGAGGCTGGTGGAGGAAAGGGATTTCCACATTCTCACTGAAGTTGCACCCTCTCCTGAAAGCAAACACAATCCAGATAGAATTAAAGTTCTGTACTATATTATGGAGCTGTACAAGAGTGTCTGCTGAAACATCCTCCTCTGAAGCACCACACAAACTATTGGTATACTTGATAAGCTTTGCTCTGATGTCTCCTGGCTCCCTGGTGTGGAATGCATGGGGCAGCCTTGCCCATGTACGTTAACCCAGTCCCCTTCTTTTGCCCTATAGATTAATTCCCAGGACCAGGGATTTATTAACAGCTTTATTAACAATGGCAGTCCTTGCCCTGGGTCGTCATTGTGGGTATTGAAGTGCTCTATGTAGATTAAAGGCACAGGAAGCCTGACACGTCTTTTGCTACCCAGAGGGTGAGGTACAGCCTGATGAGCCCTCTGGGATGATGTGCTTCCCTTCCCGGCCTCCATCAGCATGTGCTGAGTGGTGTCACCCCCTCCTAATGCCCTTCTGCAGGAGGTGGCAGCAGAGGCAGGGTGATACTGGGCAAAGCTGGTGCAGAGGGAAGCTACACCTGGAGAAGTGCTTTGGCAGGGCACCAGCAGTGATTGACTTGCTGGCCTGGAGAGACAGGAGAACAGAATATGCAGGGGATTGGTGGGGAGGGAACAGAGAGCTAGGTGTCATGCAGCAAGGAAGAGTCTTGACAGATCCGTGCTGGCATTTTGTATTTACAAGCCATATTGTGACTGGTGAGCTCCACAATAAAATCCCTACTGACTGCAGAGGCTGCAGAAATGACCCTTTTTTTTGTTAGGGGGAGAAAGTACAAACAAGAGAGGGAAGAGGAGAAATCATATTTCTCAACTCTTCATCTAAGCAGTGTCTTCATTGAAAGAAAAATCTCTCCATCGTTCAGCGCTGTGCTAGCTTTCTGTGATGCAAAGTGAAGGGGACCAGCGTGGGAAGAGCCACTCAGCACTTCAGAGGCTCGGGGAGTATCTCTGTGTGGCAGGTATAGCTGGTGAGGAGTGGGGAGGTGGGGGTAGAGGTGAGCTTACTTGTATTTCCAGCAAGCTACAAGGACCTCAGCTTGCCTCTACCACTTTTATTGTGATGGGCTTTAAATTAGGAAGTAGCTTTGGGATCCCACTTGTCACGCTCAGCAGTCACAGTTCCTTGCTCACAGGGGTGTTCGGGGGAGAAATTACATTTATGTGTGTGCAAGGAAGTGTCAGAGGGGGAGGTGTTACTGCCATACCGGAGAAGTCATTCTAACCTGTCATCCTGCAATGCCATCCTAACCAGCTGTGACGGACACACAGACATGAGGATGGGTTTTAGGATGAGGTAGCTGGGATCTGGGGAGGCATCCTGAAGCGCTGGTGCAAGAGCAGCAGTCCCAGTTCCTCAGAGCAGTTTATCTGTTTCCAAGTCACTACTCTGGAGGTGACAACCCCCTTCCCCTGACTCCAGGGCAGAGCTGTTACACTAATGCCTTTGGTCTGCCATCAGAAGGGAAAGAGCTGTGTCAACACAGAAGGTGCTATTTGCTGACAGGTTGTTGGAGACAAAGGAGACACAGGCAGGAGCAAGAATAAAAACAGAAGTTCTCAAGTAAAATATGGGCAAAAAAGAGAAGATTGATTGTTTAAGTCACAAAAGATAGAAAAATGAAGGGAAAAGTAAGAAGACTATTAAATTGAATATGCCTGCCCTTTAGAATAGCATTGATAAAGGCTGGGGATGTGAAGTGTAAAGGTTGAGACATATCTAACGGAGGGTCACATCTGATGAAACGACAATTTATGGTTAGAGAATAAAATAGATGCTGTGGATGACGTGGGTATCATTTCTAGACTACCAGGTATTAGGAGGCTGGAGGGAACACACATCAGTAGGTACATGAAGCAGGTGTCTGAAGACCATCCAACTATGAAAAGGAAAAAATAAAAAAGCTCCTGCTTATTGCTTTACTTGCTTCCCCATCCAGTCCTGCTTGCTGTAGGGAAACCAAATGGAAAACTGAGTAATGCAATATACGGTCTGTGTTCCCCATTGCCATTGACAATATGAGAAACAATACCTTACTGATGTCTTAGGTTTTTAATGAAGATGCTTGTTAGGCTTCACAGTCTAAATGCAAAAGAAGTGTTTGTTCTCCAAACACAGCCAGGTCAGGATGGGGCAGGGAAGGGTGAGCACAATTAAAAGAAACAAAAATGGTGAGAAAAACCTGGATAGTGACTGAACTAATCAAGACAAGGATGATTACACTGAATGAGCAGACTTCGCCATATAGACATATTAATATTGCAAATCATGTCAGCCAGTGCAGTGGCCCAGCCTCTTGGTGGCTACATCTGTTTCTTTTCTATTAGCTGCAGCATCAAATACAGTCATCAGGAAACGGACACATGCACTCTCATCTCCGGAGTGCATCGTACTGTACTAACTGGAGCCCACAAAAAATAGCTAGATTATTCCCTCGTTCTCCCCCATTTTTTTTTGCCTGTCACTGTTCAACTCTGCACATACCTGCGCTCTGAATCATATGGAACTTTTTCCTGCATTGTATTTTTTTTACTGAAATGTTTCCTTCAAGTCCCATTCAGTGCAATTGCCTCTTACCTCTCACCCCATCAAACTGAGAGTAAATGCAAACCCCAGAGTATAATTTACAAAGACATACTGTTGAATCCCGCATCGGACTCTTTTGCTTGAAGCCTGTAATTGTATCCTGTAGAAAGCCAAACCTAATTTGCTCATTCTGGAGAGCACTAGGTTGTAAAAAATCGAACCAAACTGCTGCACTTAATAACAGGAATAGCTTTCTGTACCTGATGGAGAAGTGATTTGTGTTACGTAATATATGTAATTACTATGAAATTATGGTTTTGTATTATAGGATATCATAGCCTTCAATGAGGCAATTTCATTGCAGCTTTCCCAGGGTCTCTCAAGTGTTTGGTTTGGAGAAGGCGGTCAGCACAACAGTCTTTTGCCAGAGTCCCAGCATCACTGAAGAAAACAGACCGTAATTAAGTGCAAATGTGTACCCCCTTCTTGCAATCACTGAGAGTGTTGGGGTGGTGTTGAGTAGTCTGCAACTTGTTTTTACAGACTCACAAGGGAAAGCCTGATGTATACAAAAACCACATGACCTAGTGAATTAGACTTGCCTCTCACACCCAGATATATCAGTGATTGCCTGATCACTGCAATATTTGTGGGGATGTCTATCTCTGTAAAATGGTACTGATGGTTGCTCACCTACATACGTCTCTGAGAAGGTCAGAGAAACAATGTCCTCTCTGATCTGTATTACTGAGAAACGCAGTGGCTCTGCACTGCTGTGTGATGGGCTCCTCCCTAAGGTTCTCTGCTGTAGATGTTATTCGTAAAGTCTCACTGTCTGACTAGTGCTTCGCTGAAGGGTGCAGTAGCTCAAGATTACATGTGGACATCTTTCTGCGCTGAGGAATTAAGGGTTTGCTACCATTCTGTACCTGTTTTGATCCCAGGAATCAGAAGTGTTTATGTATACAAACCTGTATTGGTGTGCATGTCTGTGCATGTGTGTGTGTGTGAGACAAAGAGGTGGTGATGATGAGCACACCCTTCTTCCTTGGATTCCTCTAGGGATTTTCTGCATGATGTTCTGAAGTGACGGTGAAGTTTCACACTTCAGAGTCAGGGTTTACGTGGTTACCAGTGGGCTTTACTTGTAGTCATCTGGGCTTTCTTTTCTCTTTTCTTCCGATGGTAGGCTCTTTGGGGTTTTTCTTCTGCAGACTTCCAAATAACAGGGCTTATAGCCAGAAATCACTGAAAGCTGACTTGGGTCTTCCTGAGCTAGCTCAAAATGCTGTTGTATTGGCTGAGTTCAGCACTAAGTTATACTTTCTTTTTTGCTGTCCTTTGGGGCCTAGAAGTGAGTTGGCTGCCCAACAAGGGATATTTCTCCTAGCATTGTAACTTTTTACTTGGTCTTAGGTCTGACTGATTTGGTGTGACGGAGATTTGTTGCAAGAAAAGCCATAGCTTCCTGGGTTTTATGAAGTTGGGCCAATTTCACTGAAATACCTCCCAAAGGAAATTACTCTCTTCTTCCTGAATTCTTTCTGTCTGCTATGAATCGTTCACCTCCAGGAACCCATTGTTCCCAAGTTTGGAAGTTTCTGCATCTTTCAAGTGACTTCACACTATTGGAAGCAGCAACTTCTCTTACCTCATTGTGCTTCTAAGACTTAACCTGTGAAGTTCCTGGCAGCTTCCTGCTCTTGTGTCGTCACCATCCTGTCACAGGGGAGTTTTCAGCCACTGCCTCATCCTGCTTTGCATTTGTATGTGCTTCCCGGTGTGAATTGGTTTGGTGTCTTAGGGAAATAGTGCAAGACCTTCAGAGAAAAGAGGAACCCACTCAAGTCATGCCACCCAAGTCAGCAGACTTTTCTTCCAAATAAAGAAAAAAAGGGGAAAAACCCCAAAACCAAAACGACACTGAAGAAACCACAAGCCATTCAAAAGAGAATTATAATTTCAGAGAAAAATGGAGTAACACCCGTACTACTGTTTGCAGCTTCTTTCAGCATGGGAGGGAAGTGTTGCTTGTAGTTCAATCATAAGTGATAATTGGAAAATAGATGTTACAGTTTCAGCCCTTTTGTGACAGAAAGCGTGCGACTGAATTACGTCTCCTGATGACACAAGCCAGGCACAAAACACTTCATGCAAACGTGCTCTGAGGACAGCCTGTTTAGGTTATTTCATCCTTGAACTTTTTTATCACTCTTAGTACTGGCAGATACTTTTCCCTTCTCAAATCACTGTCCTTCAGCCTTTTCCCACCATATGCCTACCCTCTTTTCCACTCCTCCTCTTCTCCTGTGGCAGTCCTTACCTCTTGCTTTCCACTGGTATCGCAACAGCCCTTCTCTCACATCCACTTCGTGTTATCCCTGCATCAGTGCATCTCAGATCTCTATGGCAATGCATTTCAAATTACTTTCTCACCTCTGCCTGCCTCCCTAGTGTCTGCCTTTCCAGATACCATTGCCAGTCACTTAAAATCATTGTGGCAAAAAACGTGTTCCTTATTCATATTCCTCGTTCCATGTTCCCCAGATGCATTACCTTGATTTTCCCCTCTCTAACTCTGCACGTTCAGGACACTGCTAAATCCTAATCCTCAGTCCTTTAAAACTAAAATTTGTCTTCTTACTCCCCAGTTCCCAAACCTGCTGTATCAGTCTGGTGTTGCTTAGGGGGAAGGTTTTGTATAAGCAACATTTCTTGCTAGAAATATAGAACAGAAGTGTTTGGGTTTGACTTTTTGGGACCCAAGAATGAATCTTCAGACTACCAGTTAGGGGGAAATATTAATAAAACCCCTCATTTTCACTTGAACACAAAATAAATTTAATCCATCATTAGGTAGAGAACCCTACAATGTAATTTTAGAGTTATTTTTTATAAGGTTGTAATAGGTATAGCCCCATTCCTAACGCGCTGCAATTAGCTGTGCTGCACATAGATGCACTGTAAGAAAGAACGGGGAAGTTGCTTTTTCTCATTCAGCCTAGCTTGGTTTCAACTGTGCCCTAAGGCCTTGGTTCTTACCCCAGCAGATGCGTAGGTCACTGTCAAATAGCTCTGGGTTTGGTTGCTTGTTGCATTGTGCCATATGTCAGCTGCTGTGCCTGTGCAAAAGCTGATGCAAGCTTTTGTGCTCTCTTAATGCCTCTGAGGTAATTCTCCCCTTACGTGAACTATGTTTGGTTGCAATTTCGCTGCTGAGCTTTGCAAAATTGAGCTGTAATAAAACAAAAAAGAGAAAAAGGGGGTGGTAGCTGTCAAACGGGAAGTAGTGAACAGCAAGCAAAACGGCACTGTCTTTTATTCTGTCCTGATGCAGATGGGCATCTTTGGGACAGCTGTAGAAACAGGAGTGAAATGAAAGTCTAGGGACTGTGTCAAGGGCCAGCAGTGCAGCATACCTGTGGCTGCTGCACTACGCTCCCCAGGGGAGCACGTCTCTGAGCAAACGCCACTGCTCTGTACTTTTTAGGCCTGTTGTCTGATTTGGGGATGGAGTTTGAAGCAGAATACGAGGCAGAGTTTGCTGGCGAACAAGTGAAGAGTGGGAACTGCGATGTACTTGGCTCTGAAAGGGATTTGCCCATTCCTGGAGCTGGGAGATGTGAGAAAGAGGGAAAAGCAGCAGTGCTCTGAGTAGTTGTTGGGCTTACTTAGGAGAAGGCAAGCCTCACTCTGCTTGCTAATGCACTAGCTGTGCATTGTTGCAGGCTTTGGGAAACTCAAAACGGAAAACTCTTCTAAAGCTGAGCCTTTGCTTTCCACACACAATCTGCATTTCCTTTCAGAGGACCTTTTGGGTCTATTTTCCTGCACTGCCGAAAGAGGGTTTTGTTTCCCTCATGATGTTTTTTGAATTCCTCAGATCCTGACAAGAAACCCAGTAGGAGCCAGGGATCGCACTGGTCCTGCAACCCACTGATGCGAAAGCAGTGAGCTGCATGGCTGTGTGCCCCACAACGCCCACAACCCAAAGGAGTCACCTCCTGTTTCCACTTATGCAGCTCTGGCTCGATGTCCCACCTTCATAAGCTTTTTTTCTTTTCTTGCAGCCCGAAATATCCTCTACCTCCTGCAGATGTCCTCTTGAGGGGAACTACAAGTCCTCATCCATTAACGCAGATTCCTCATCTACATTCATCTACAGGTTTCAAAAGCCTGAAGGTAAACTTACTTTTCCTCCCTCCTGCCCACACAGCTAGGTGCTCCTAGAGAGGGAAGAATTCAGATTGGCAACTGCTGACTGAGATGCTTCCTATTATTTTGCTTATCTTCCTGTAAGCGTGTTCAGAGCAAATGTTTAGTACGCTGCAGATGATGTAGTTACTGATAATGGATCCTTGCTGCTAGGGGACGTGCAGTGATTTACCTTCATCAAATTAAATCAGAACAGGTGTTGCCAGCTCACTTCTGAATCAGAAGGTGAGCAGGTGCCACTAAGTTGCATCTGGCAGTGGGAGCAAACAAACCTAGGCCAGAGAACTGTTGAGTCAGGTGATTTTTAATTTGGTGCACACCCTGAGCAATTAGAAGCAGCTTTCCAAGGGTTCTTCTGCACATCGCTCTCATACAGAAATCAGAATTTGCATTAGAGAGCATTGTGACTATTGCCTTCGACACATAAGGCACTTTCTTTGCTTTTTTAACAAGGAGCTGTGCATGTGGAGATTTTCCAAAGTGAGATTCCTCCTTTTGTAAAGGCTGAGGATGGGAGACCACGGGGGAAATTTATGCTCCGCTGTAGCAACTCCACAGATCGGTGGCTGTGGGTCTGCTTCTGCGTCGCAAACTGTCTCCAGTGCAGAAGTGGAGGGTTTTCCGTAGCAACGCCCCGACTCTTCATCACTGCTTACAGGTGGAGGGGTCAGGGCTAGATGTGCAATGAGACCTGTGCTTCTTCCTTAGAAGAACACATCAGGCCACTACACTGGTAATGATCAGAGTGTCTGTATCTGACCCTCCGTATTTGGCTAAAATCAGCATCTTTGAAAGCACGGATTAATTCCTCTCCCTGCTGTATGTAAAAGCATTTTTGACTAAGTCATTTTCAACCAAACAGTGTTCAGCCAGGGCAGTAAATCACACAAACAATATTAATCACTTTTTGGTCATGTTTAATGGCCTTAAATTGCCTTAGAAATTGCTTCACCTAATTTTATTTCAGTGGGGCTCTACAAGGGGTCCAGCTGCAAATAACCTCTCAGAATCAAGGCTGAATTACTGCAGATACCTCTGTAAAGGTAAGAAGGCAGATCCTCAGATCATATAAATTGGTGCAGCCCTGCTGATGACTGTGATGTTATGGTGATTGATACCAGCAGGGCCATAATACAGCTAAAGTAAATGGTCTGCAGATTTAAATGCCTGCTGCTAATGGGTCCCATGGTAAATCAATGGCTCACTTGTTAGTTTCTCTTTAAAATGGACTCAGAAGGTGTATTAATAGAAAAAAAACAACAGAACAATACCAGCTTAGCCAGTGGCCAACACGGGTAGCACTATAGCCAGTTTATTTCACATTTGCATTTAGACATATGGCCTGATTTATTACCATAGAAGATGCTTGTGCCAGTATGCAATAGGTCTAAGATAAAGTCTGAGACCCAGAACAGCCCAGCAAGTAACTTCATGTCTATTTTTCAGCCATCTTAAAGTGAGGCAAGAAACAGTGAGTGCCCTTCCAGTGGACCTGGATGGGAATGAACCTCCTCGCCCTATCGGGGTATTCAAGAATTCCAGTATTTTTCCTATGTCCCACCAGGGATGAAAGGTCCTTTTAAAACTTGGATGAAAATCTCCAAAATAAAATCAAGATGGGGCCAAACTAAATATTTGACTTTAATAATGTTCAAAGAGTATATTTTGATTGTGACCTCTCTAAGCAGTTGCCTCTTTTTAGTACAAAAGGAACATGGGGTTTTTGCTTGTTTCCTTCAATTAGGAAACAAAACTTTTCACTTTAAAAAATGTCAAAACAGCAATTCTTGATCATTCAGAGGTTCTTCTGATTTGTTTTTAAAGCTGAGAGACTTGAAAACAAACCTCTGCCATCAATCAATTTCGGTTTTGACAGATGACTGCTTTCTTTCTGTTGTGGGGGAGGGAGAAGAAGAGTTTAGTCCCGATATTCCTGACCACTTCTAGTAATTTTTACTTCTGTTTTGAAAGCCTGCTGCCTTACATAGGCTTTAGCCCAGTTAAATGAAGCTGCACTGGGCAATGGGGATGCAGTTTTTTAGATGCCTTTATAAGCTCATTTTCAAATGCGTACTTTAATCTTCCTTTTTTTTTATCAGTGACCAACATGATTTATAAAGCCTCGGAGTGATTTATATTCTGTTCACATGATTTAGTGTCCTTAGTGAATGCAGTTTGGTTGAAAATGGCTTAATGAAAAATGGTTTCTTTACAGCATAGATGGAGCTTAATCCGTGTTTTCAAAAATCAGTCTGATTAAAGCCTTATAAGGATGAGATGAAGGCACTGTCTGTTGCCAAGGTATCTGCTAGAAATGTGGTTCTCAGGGAAAGGCCTGAAGGCTTTACATCACAAAAGTTACTTTCCAAAAGACTGTGGTGACGAGACAGCTTTGGGTTCCCAGCTCAGACAGCAACGCAGCAAGGCTTTTAGGGGAAAGCAAGGAAATAAAACCAACCTGATTAAAAAATTAAGCCCCAGAGAAGACCAGCTCACCTGGTATCTCATACCAGGTAAGGTCACTGCCTTTCGCCTAGTTGTTCAAAGTCCGTGCATTTGGCCCTGGGGAGAGGATGTGAAGGTCCTGCCCAAAGATGGGTTTCCTGTCCACAGCTTCTGAGCGGCTGTCCTTCAATGGGAGCTACAGATTTGCAAGTAGTTTTTGGTGAGGTTTTAAAGAAATGAGCTGCACTTAGGCTGACGTTGTCAGTGGGTGGTGATTAGTGATGTGGTTTGTTTAAAAGTGCCTCATCTTCATTTTTGTAGTTGTTTACAACACATTGAATGGCTCCTGGAAGGCATTTGGGCTCCATGAAGTGAAATGGAGTCAGAGGATTTATAGGTTTCCTTCTATTGGAGGCTGTTCTGCAAGGCAGGCTTTTCAGGCCCACGATATACCCTGAAGCCTTACACTTTTTTGGTGGTACAGGCCAAAGTCTAAGGAAGGCTGAGCCATTTCTTCAGCTGTGTCCGCTGACATCATGTTTGTTACAGGCACTTCAGCACAACGGAGCACTCGATCCTGGCATGTTTCTGTGGTCATCCCCCAGGAGCGGTTTTCCCTACCTGATGGTTTTATTTTTGCACACAAGCTTGATGATGCAGGTAGGTTTCTGGGTTTCCCCATTGTTTTCAGGTCAGGCACTCACACATGGATGTTATAAGCTTGTGCCTGATTTTGACACAGCCAATATAAACTGTAACTCAGCTGATCTTAACTAAACCATAGATCTGCATACAGCATGATGTGAAAGTAGAAGAAATTGGCCCTTCTCATACCGCAATCCAAACTATTCTTTTTTTTCTGGACTTCCATGGAAAGAAATGCCTTTAATGAAGTTGCATGTTTGTTCACTTCTAAGCATATGCTTAAGTGCTCTCCACAGTAAGGATGAACTTACCTGCCTCAGTGCTGTCCTGAGGAGAAGCTTAGATGAAACAAATGGTGAGATTATTTTCCCTGAGGCAGCAGAACTTTGATTCACTTTTCACCTTCTTCTCCAGCAGCATGTTTGTTTTCATTGAGCTCTGGCTTGAAGTCCTGTGTTTTGGCAATAACAGGCTTGACCGCTCTCCCCCACCACTGCCACCTCTGAAGCAAAGTCTGTTTTTTGTACTTTCTGTGTTTGGAGATGGGGGAGTGGAGGAGTTGCTGATAGAGGTAGCCAGTGATGGTCACTAAATGTGTCTGCTCCGTTGAAAGTAAGGCAGCATACAACAAATGTTAAAGGGAACAAAATGGATTATTTGTTATCCCTGGGGGAATTCTACCCTTAAAGCGATGTCCCAGAAACCCAGATGGAATGTTAAATTAAAGCCAAAGGCCCCCCACAAGTGTGTTAGCAGAGAAAAAGCTCCTTATAGCGAAGACCTTTGAAAATTAGAACTGAAAAATAATATTCTAGAAAAATAAAAGTTCTCCTAAGAAAACAGAAAGCAAGGAAATTAAAAGCACAATAGGGACCAGCCACAGTACTTAGGATGCGAAGGCTCTGTCAAGCAAAATGCTGTTAACACAACCCCCTGACTTTTTCCACTGTACATGTACACATGCACACACTTTATTTGAAGTGGCCTTAAGTTTGCCTTGAGATCACCAACTGAGTTTTAAATTAACACAGGGGTGTCACACTGTCATGTACCATCCTGATGGCCTTCTGGAAGAAGTGTTCTCTGCGTTCAGGAAAGGAAGGGTGAGTGCTTTCTATCTCTCTTTCTTTTTCCCTGAAAAGTGTAAAGAAATTCAACAAAACATTAGGGAGAAGCACAGGTATCAGTCAAGAGTCTGAAAAATGATTTAATTTTTCTCTCTGCTTTTGGGGTTACCTTGTCTGTCTCCTCCCTCCTCCCAACTGATCCACATTGTCCTACATGGCACAGCACTGTGTTTAGTAAAGAGGCTTCTTGCTGTGTTGATTTAAACACCAGCAAGGTTCTGCCCCATTAAATTCAGCGAGGATTCATCAGTAAGGTACAAAGGACATGGCTCTTTCCTTTACAGGCCAGAGGATCCGCATGACCTAAACACGAAGCCGTGGAATGATAGACCTGGAAAGTTATTATAAAAGTAGACATAGCATTAAGGGGAGTTGTGCTGACTTACTACCTTGCTGATAGGCCCCAAACTCCCTCTGTGTGTGTGAAAATGAACTATCTTTGTATTTGCTCAGCCATAAGCCTCCTTGCTGAGTTTGCTGATAAGTTTACCAGATATTGCCAAGTCAGGTGTTGCATCAGTGACATCTGGATTGGCCGTGACAATCTCCAAGTAATGTGGCTTGTCCCAGTGTCCTGAAGTCCTTTGAACTCAGCCTCGTACCAGTTTTTTCTGCTGGGCACAGGTCTTTTCTTATTTTTTATTCTCGAGCTGCCATGAAACCCATGTATGCATTTTCAGAGGGTTCCACAGAGGGCACATAAAACCCCTGTTCCTGTGTCAGTGTCAGATCCCACAACTGGGAGGTAAAGGGAAGGAGGGCATTCTTCCCATTATAGTGATGCCTACCATCCATCCGTTACTGAAGGAAAAAATAAATTAAGAATCTTGTTAGACTGTTAGGTTCTGATTCATTAATAGTGGCTATACTATGTGTTTGGCTGTTAACTGAGAGAAAATGAAGGTCCATGAGAGAGCTGTGTATCGGCTGCCAATGACTGAGTACAAAATGGGTGTCATGTCTGCAGACAGGCAGATTCTTTTCAGGCAGAAGTGAAATTCACTCACCAGATGCACCATAAGGATAATGAAAGTGGATCTAGACACATGTCTACCAGGCAGTGAACTGACACCATCGATCCATTTGGTGAGAGTCATGAACAAGCCTTCAAATTGCAGGGCTGTTTTGTTACCGACCAAATCAAATCACTGATAGAGCACTTACAATGCCTATTCTCTGTTTGCAGTCGTACAATGACTCATCTGGGTCACCAGGATTAGTAACGTAACAAGTCCTTGTGTAGTTATGAGCTCAGGGTCCTCAATCTAAAATAAACGATGTGGGTTTTAAAGGTATTTTTTAATATCTGTAAAATAATGCTTTAGTAACTCAGACTGATTCCTCAGTATTGCAAATTAATGCTGACATCCTGGACAGAAAGACTGAATATCTGCCTTCCTTATCATAGTTATTTCTAAGAGTCTAAACCATGATATTAGGATTGTGCCATGTGGAAGACATGATATCCCAGAGCCATAATGACTCTTTTTATATGAAATGAAGTATGTTTCAAACTTTGTTTGTGTATCAGCTCAAATCTGTCCTAGAACTTGACATGGAATGCATACTGAACAGTAAGATTTCTTCAGTAGTATATAGTTATGGTATCTATTCAACAACCTCCCAGTAGGTCTAAACAGAAATTCTTAATCCATTCTTTAGAGTTTGGAACAGAGTTTTTTTATGGACTGTATTTGTTGATGAATTAAAGTTGTCGTGTTCATCTGCTGAACTCAGAAACTGATCAGTTTTTAAATAGGTATTTGGACAGTAGATGGCCTAGGAGATGTTGAAGTTGTTAGAGTGCTTAAAGAAAAGTTGTTGGTTATTCAGTGAAATGAATCAATACTCTGCCAAATCTGTAATGAATCAACACCTCAGCATGAGGTTAGGAGTATCCATATTCTACAAACCCCGTGGTGTGTTGTCTTTTGGAGTAGGCATAAAACCCGTGAATAAACTGACTATTAGTCATTGAAGAGCCCCAGGGAACTTTAAGCTTAGAGATCTTGTAACAGATGGTCTGGGCAGAATTCTAACTAACTCATGTCTGATATTCATCTGCTGGTGTAAATCAGCACTGCTGCCCTGGGTTTGGTAATGCAGTAGGGATTTGTATCAAAAAGCTCCCTGGCCCTGCTTGCCTAACCCATCCCCTGTTCTTTTAGCTGAATATGCTATTCCTTTTCCCCTCCTCTACTGCAAACAGAAAGCAGACTGATTCCCAGCTAATGGGAATCAGTCAGTGTATCTTCTGAAGGTCTCCTTATTACCTGTGGTTGAGTTATCTCCCAGGTATTCTACACATTTCAAGAATTTTGGTTGTTGAGAAGCTCAACATGGCCCAGCCCATGTGCTCACAGCCCAGAAACCCAACCATATTCTGGGCTGCATCAAAAGGAGCAGGTCCAGCACGTCAAGGGAGGTGATTTTCCCCTTCTATTCCACGCTTATGACACCCCAGAGTACTGCGTTCAGCTCTGGAGCTCCGCATAGAAGAAGGATGTGAACGTACTTGAGCAAATCCAGAGGAGGGCCACAGAGATGATCAGAGGGCTTGAGCACCTCTCCTGTGAAGAAACAGGGAACTGGGGTTGTTCACCCCAGAGAAGAGAAGGCTCCAGGGAGACCTTAGAGCAGCTTCCAGTACCTAAAAGGGACCTACAAGAAATCTGGAAAGGGACTTTTTACAAGGGCATGTAGTGACAGGACAAGGCATAATGGCTTTAAACTGAAAGGGAGTAGGTGAGACATTAGGAAGAAACTGTATTGTGAGGGTGGTGAGGCCCTAGCACAGGTTGCCCAGAGAAGCTGCGGCTGCCCTGTCCCTGGCAGTGTTCAAAGTAAGGTTGGACAGGCTTGGAGCACCCTGGTCTAGTGGAAGGTGTCCCTGATTATGGCAGGGGGTTTGGAATTAGATGATCTTTAAGGTCTTTTCCAACCCAAATCCTTCTATGATTCTATGAACTTCCATGGGTAAAAAAGTGATACAAAAGCATAATCACCTGACCTTAAAGCAAGCTGTTTTTCTTTATACGCCAGTAGGGAAATGGAGGGCTGAAGTAAATGTCAAGTTCTACTAAATCACACTGTTAGCATTTTAACCTGGTGTATATAATTCAGCAAATTGCAGAGCAGTGCATAGTCAGGCTTCAAATCTCGCCCGCTGCTACTGAAAAATTGTCACTCATAAGAAACTACCTAACTGCTAGTTACTGTGCCAGAGTATCTAAAATGCACAATTAATTATGGGGTAATAATTATAGTATCTCAGATACCTTTGCTGATAACTGAGCTTGACTTTTCAATAGCTGGTACTTCTCCAGTGTCATGATATCCAGCTAGACTACTGTGAACCCTCTGAAGATAAAGCAACCTGCATGCAATTTGGTTCTAAGCCACCACTTAGCATTAAATTGTAGCCTTCTGAGGCTTAGGCATAGTGTGGTGTCATCTGGCATCTCCTGCCATTGCAGAAGTCTCTCTAGAGTCTTCACAATACTTCCCAAGAGAATAAGTAGTTTAGAGGCATTACCTACAACCTAGCTTAGACCTGCTTCACTGCACTAAGGGATCTGCCCCTTTCACAAATACATAAGAATTATAGGTATTATGTAGGCTTATTCTACAGCCGCTTCTTCTTTTCTCTCTGGTTTATGGTGCATTTTGTCCTTTTTTTCTTCTTGCTTCAGATAAATAATACTGAGCTTCTGTCTTAACATTTTCCAAATGAATCCCGACTGAAATGCAAGCATTCAGTGCAATCAGTTGATTGTTTTAATACATTATCATTCCTTATTTTTGAGTACCTTTGATAAAACTTACAGAATCGGTAGCCTGGAGAGGAGTGAGGAGTCATGTCATCTCTAGATCAAGTTTGTTACATGGAATTGGCAAGGCAATGCCTTTTTCATGAGTGCTTCATGACATGGACCTTTCAATAGACTGGATGTGCCTAAAGCAGATAATTGGCAACCTTTCATTTACCCTTAGTTTTACTTCTTTTTGTTGTAAAAGGAAGAGGAGGAGGTTGAAGGTGATGAAAATTAATTATCCTTTGGGTTTAAGGAGGCCACTGAAGATTGTGAGAGAGGCTTCCTAGAACCAGGTTACTCATGAAACTCAGATGCAACAGTAATGTTCAGGAGCCAGAAGTCCCACTTTTTTTTGTGGGCCTTTCCTTATTTTTGGGTTTTTATTCCCACATGGGGTGCCAGAACCACCCTTTGGCAGCCGAGGGTGCTCAAATTTTCATCTGCCACACAGTTCACAGCAATGATTAGCCTCTCAAATGTGGAGCTCACACCTCCCACTTGGCCCCTACTAACTGCTTCCCATGCCACCCCTAACCAGCACAGCCCCTTGTCTTTTTCTTTTTGGTCTGGCACCACAGCACATGCATTATCTTGTTCCTCCAGTGGAACCATGTGGAGCCTGCTTTGAGGAAGAATATTGGCAGCAGAAGGAAGGGAGGGTACTACCTATTGTTGCTTTATCACACTAGTTTTTATACTAATTATTGTAAAATGCTGTGCATCAGAGGAGCTGTATCAGTAGCATAAAAGTTGTTAATACCATTCTTCATGAGTGGCACTGTTCTGTGAGGGACAGTGGATCTTCCAGAGGCGAGATGGAGTTCACCCGAGAAGACTCAATGTTAAATAACTTTCACAGTGTTATTATTTTTGTTACTGTAGTGCGTGGAAGTTGTAGTAACAGAACAGCCCCCCGCTGTGTTAGGGACCTTGCAAACAGAGTACAAAAAGACACTGTTTTTCCCAGAGAGTTTAAAACTAATTAGCCTTCTCCATTCCGGACATGGGCTCTGTACCTACAGCAAAGAAAAATCTTGTTTGCTTATTTATTAAATTTAGAATAGACAGCTCAGTTTATTTTTCCATTAAAAAGATGATGCCAAACTGAGTGCTAACATACATGAACTACAACCCCTCTGGTTTAATAGGGGAGGAAGGAGGTAAATGCTTGTGATTAATTTGGCTCATCCTGGTTGAAAAACAATAGAGATTTGTCTTAGCTGGTCTTAAGTAGAGTGGATACTTTAAACACAAGCAAGCTACCTCTCAGGCTGTGGATGATATATTATGTAGAATATGGTATGAAAAATTAGCCAGCACATTTACCAGACCCTCTAGGAAGCCCTGTGATTAAATTTAACGTAGCTGACCCTGTTGTCCTACATCTAATGAGCCAGAATTGATAGAAATGTCCTTGATCCAGCTGGTGGTTTTTAGTGTCAGATTCTAGTGTTACATAGTTTATCCACCTTAACCCCACCAGTGATGCAATTGCTTAATGCACTGACCTGTCACCTTTCAAATGGTATTTTTGTTCTGCTTGGTGTAAAGTGAAATTAGACTCAGCTGCTTGCATAGGCAACGATATGTGGCTTTAGCCTAAAAAAGCAAAGTCTGGGTTTTGCTCTGAGACCTGTACTCATGCAAAGGTGAGGGCTGCCCACTACCCAGTACAATAAATTTTGCTTCATAAGTGGTGGGAAGCATCTTGAGGACAGCTTCTGCAGGAGCTGCCTGTGGCAAGGTGGTCAGTTCAGTTGAGCCAGATTTTCTATCTTTTCCTTTAGGTGATGGTCTTCATAGGGTGGACACTGCAGGCAGAACAGTACAATACTGCAGAGCAGTATTTTAAAGATGTTTAGATGTCCAATTTAATTTTGAGATGTAGAAATGGCTCTGACCCTGCAGTTTTGAAGTCACTGCTACTTAATCATTGACAGTGTCTATACAATCAAACCTCTGCAGCAGAAGACTTTGAGTGTTACTACCAGTGTGCTACCTACTCTCCATTGAGTCAAAATAGCAACTTCTGGAGCTGGTTTGCTGGTCCTACAATTTTTGTGTGCTAGTTATTGCAGGAATTGTTCTGTATAAAGGCACAGGTGTTCATGGAGGAATTAAGTCTGTTTGGTTTTGGGAATGGCAAATATTTTGACCGATACCATGTTTTAAGAAGGTTTTAGTTTTCAGAGAGTCTCGGGGTCTGCTAGCTTCATTTTTCTAGTATTTATTTTTCAATTGGGATGGTGATTGAAATCCAGGAGTGGCTTT